AGGTGCATGTGCCAGAAGAAGATGCTGACCTTTTGAGGTTTCTTTGGTGGCCTGGTGGTGACCTCAATCAGAGCATGCAAGAGTACAGAATGGGTGTTCATTTGTTTGGGGCAACGTCTTCTCCAAGCTGTGCTAACTACGCCCTGCGGAAATGTGCAGAGGACAACAAAGCATACTTCAGCCAGCAGGTGACTGACACCATTCTGTATAGTTTTTATGTGGATGACTGCCTTGCTTCAATATGCTCTGAAGAAGAAGCCATCAATCTTTACTCAGGCCTTAGAGACATTTGCGCCAAGGGTGGTTTCCACTTAACAAAGTGGATCAGCAATAGCCGCAGTGTTCTGGCAGTCATACCTGAGGAGGAAAGAGCAAATGAAGTTAAGGACCTAGACCTCGATCGTGACCTTTTACCTGTTGAGCGAGCATTGGGAGTGAAGTGGTGCCTGCAGTCAGATGCATTTAAGTTCTGCATATCCATCCCAAACAGACCATTGACTCGGAGAGGGATCCTATCCACAGTAAGCTCCTTCTATGACCCTCTGGGGTTCCTTGCTCCTGTTATCTTCACAGCCAAGAGGATCCTTCAAGATCTGTGCCAGAGGGGGATAGGATGGGACGATGCTATACCATCAGCAGTTGCTGAAGAGTGGAAAAGCTGGTTAGAAGAATTGCATCTGTTGAACAATATCTGCATCGGACGATGTTTAAAACCTCCTGATTTTGGAGAGACAACCACTGCTCAGTTGCACCACTTTGCAGATGCGAGTGAGAAGGGCTATGGGGCTGTTACCTACTTGTTGCTGCACAACAGTTGCTCACAGACGCACAGTTCCTTCATAATGGGAAAATCCAGGGTGGCACCTTTAAAACCAGTCACCATCCCTCGCATGGAATTGACGGCAGCAGTGGTAGCAGTTCGCATGGATAGAACGTGGAAGAGGGAGTTGAGACTACCTCTCCTAAACTCTGTCTTTTGGACGGACAGCACTGCAGTGTTGAAATATATAAATAATGAGTCTTCCAGGTTCCGTGTTTTTGTGGCAAACAGAGTGTCAGAAATCCTCAAGGCTTCTAGTGCCTCCCAATGGAGGTATGTGAACACCACGCATAACCCTGCGGACCTTGCCTCCAGAGGTGTGAAGGCTGAGACCTTTTTGCGTGACACTGAATGGATATGTGGCCCTGCATTTCTTACACAGCCAGAGAACAATTGGCCTGTTAACCCAGAAAATTTGCAAGAACTTCCACGTGAAGATCCTGAAGTTAAGGTGTCTGCTGCCATCAACGTCTCACAAGTGCACGGTGATGATCATCCTCTGACCCCTTTAATCCATCGTGCCTCATCCTGGACTCGTCTCATCAGGGTGATGGGTTGGATTTTAAGGTTCAAGATGTTGTTATTGCATCGCAGGAAGATACATTTTCAGCCTGCATCTGATCCAATTCAGTCTGAAGATGCTCAACATAAGGTTGATTTCCGGCATGGCTTTCTTTCATTGGGAGAGATTGAGGTTGCTGAGATGCAAATAATTAAGTTCTGTCAGAGGAAGAGTTACGCTGAAGAAATTTCTTGTCTCCAAAGGGGAGAATCTGTGAAACGAAGCAGTCACATATATAAGTTGAATCCTGTTTTGGAGGATGGTGTGCTGCTGGTTGGCGGACGTCTTAGTAAGGCTGTCATGTCAGAAGACTCCAAGCATCCTGTCATAATCGCTAAAGAGCTTCACATTTCCAATCTCATTCTACAGCATGTTCATAAGGAGGTGGGTCATGGTGGAAGGAACCACATGCTCTCAAAGCTGCATCAGAAATATTGGATTCCTGGTGCTGGTACTCTGATTCGAAGCATCATGTCGAGGTGTGTGACCTGCAGAAGGTTTCATGGAGCTGCAGGACAGCAGCGGATGGCTGAGTTGCCCGGAAGCAGAGTGACCCCTGAGAAACCCCCATTTAACTTTGTTGGAGTGGACTATTTTGGTCCATTTGAAGTGAAGCGTGGGAGAAGTCTTGTGAAGCGGTATGGTGTTATTTTTACTTGTTTGGCGATTAGAGCAGTACACATTGAGGTTGCCTCATCTCTTGACACTGACTCTTTCATTAACGCCTTACGACGTTTCATTGCAAGACGAGGTCAGGTACAAGAATTGCGCTCGGACAATGGGACTAACTTTGTGGGCGCAGAGCGCGAGCTGGGACGAGCTATGGAAGAGTGGAATCAGCAAAAGATCTCTGATGCTCTGTCCTTGAAGGGAGTGAAATGGATCTTCAATCCCCCAACTGGATCGCATCACGGCGGAGCATGGGAGCGGCTGATTCGTTCTGTCAGAAAGGTCCTTAATTCCACTCTCCAAACGCAGCATTTGGACGAGGAAGGGCTCCAAACTGCTCTTTGTGAAGTGGAGTCAATCCTCAACAGTAGACCCATTACACTGGAATCCACTGATCCAAATGATTTGGAAGCCTTAACACCAAATTATCTCCTTCTTCTCAAGTCCAACCCGTCTTTACCACCTGGTCTGTTCCGGAGGGACGATCTCTACGTACGCAAACGATGGAGGCAAGTTCAATATATATCTGACCTGTTTTGGAAAAGATGGACTAAGGAATACTTGCCACAACTTCAGCGGCGCCAGAAATGGGGAAGGATTAAACGTAACTTTATTCCTGGAGATGTGGTCCTCATAGTGGATGATTCTGCACCTCGTGGTTCCTGGATCATTGGGAGGGTCACCGGTGCTGTACCAGATGAAAAGGGGCTTGTGCGTCAGGTCTGGATTAAGACCCCAACCAGCCATGTGCGCAGACCCGTTACAAAGATATGCCTTCTTCAGGAGACCTCTGACCCATGACGGTGACTTTTGACACGATGTGACATGGCTAACTTTGAACTGATTTCGTTATGAGATGTACGTCGCAGACTGACTATATTTAGGCTAAGTGCTGGTAACCTCTGGCCTATGACTGACTGACCGTGTGCAGACAGAAGAAAGGAAGAGAGGAAATGAGAAAACAACTTTGCTGGACTTTTGAGTATGATATGTGGTCTCACTGGGTGTCTGTGTTGTGATGTAGCATATGAGTTATGGTGTCAGATGTGTAATTATTACTGTGAGAATGTAATAATTAGGGGCCGGAATGTTGTGGATAGGCGTTGCCTTGGGTCACATGGTGTCGGTAATAATAATAGTGATTGCTATCACCTGTGCAGGTGATGGAATGGGAGAATGAGTGGGTGATGGGGGAAGTCAACTTTTTGCTGACCGCTCAAGCTTAGAATGTTTTTTATTTATCACTGTTTTCAACGGATTTTAAGGCTTTAATAACAAATAAAGGAATTTTTAACCTGGAACTTTGACTTCGGAGTGGAACAGCGGGCGCGTCAACATTATTCCCCTATTCAGCTGCTCGGCGACTCAAAGGCTTGACAGTCGCCAATACACAGTATTTTTAGCAAGAGGAAATAAAATAATGTTCTTTTTTCCAGTAAACATTCACAATGTTGGGTGTTAATATTTGCAGAGCTGCCCAGAGGTGGGCTTTAGCCACCGGGGGGTTCATTCAGGGTAGCGGAGGTAAAGTTTTCCCTCATCCGCGGTTTAGAAGCAGATTTTACATTTTGTTGATGGCACACATTCTTTAGACAGCTTTTATTTAACAACTCAGATCTTTTTCATCTTATATTCAAGATAAAATTAAAATACTGCAATAAAACATCAAAGTTTCATTTTAAAAGGATGTTGCACATGATTTCACATCTTTATCATATTAGCATCACGTTGCGCCTGACGCCAATGCCGTAAGTCTGCATATTATCTGTGGCTCTAGAAGTTTTTTTTAACTTATGAACATGTCCTCAGATTAATCTAATATTTTCCAAATGAAAAGAAGCAGGATTTTACGAGAGGTGCATCTCAAACCAGCTTCACTTTAAATAAATAAATGACCTGATTTTACATGTTTTTAAAAGGAATTTCTACATAGTTGCTCTCTTGCAAAAAAGACAAACATGGATCGTCCTCACCAGTCGCAGAGTTTATTCTTTTAAATATACATAATCTCCCCCAAATATTAAATAACCCTCCCCCCTCCTCCCACACTCAATTCTTTGCTTTCTCCTCCTCCAAAAGAAAGCTTGTCCAAGCTCAAAACACTCTACATTGTGCAGCATATTGCTTCTTAAGACATTTCTGAAAACATATATTACAAAAAACTACAGTTTGTCTTTTTTTTGCCAGTATTTGCTTTAACATCAGGCTGCTATGAACACAATCTAATAAAAGGAAAACGGCACAATGTCCTTCGGTCTGGCTGCATGAGAAGAGCTGGATCTAAGGAGGTTTTTTTAAATGACGTGTCCACAGTGGTTCATACCGCAGCAGGTAAAATGATCAAATATCCTTTATCCCTCCACAGGAGTCCTGATTCTGGTCAAATTAGGTCATTTAAAAGTCCTTTTAGACCATTATGTAATAGGGACGTTTGTATCACTAGTGTTTTATCACCTCCCACAGTCAGGAATTGCCTTTTTACAATTTCACTTTTTAAAATCTAATTTAAAGAATTTTTGGTCCGATGAGGCAGTCGACGCTGCAGGCAGAGAGAAGGACAGTGTGGAGCGGCACTGGAGGACAAGGCATGCATGTTAACACTTAACTCAGAGTCGTCATTGAAAGTGTTTTCGCTCTGATATTTTATATGCGTGTGTGTGTGTGTGTGTGTGTGTGTGTGTGTGTGTGTGTGTGTGTGTGTGTGTGTGTGTGTGTGTGTGTGTGTGTGTGTGTGTGTGTGTGTGTGTGTGTGTGTGTGTGTGTGTGTGTGTGTGTGTTCTTTCCTTGTACAGCTGAAGGTTTTGAAAAAGTCCTGCTCAGGAAAAACCTACAACTTTTACGTCTCCAAATGAACTCCACGCATTAAAGAAGGACCTTTTCAATGGCCGACACTGTATGTGTCATGTGTGCTTGTGTTGCGTCTCATCAGCTCTTATCAACTCTTGTGTCCGTTATTCCTGCAGTCTGTTTATTTGTTTCTCCTTCCTCTACCTCTCGAAGCAACGAAGGAGCTGCATTTTTACTGGGCAGCTTCAAAAGATCAGGCAAAGGGGTCACATACGAGGGGAGTATTTGGGGTTTCTTGGCACCTCGGTGAAAGATTTCAGCTCATACGGAATCCCTGTATCCACTTCAATGGATTTACGGGAAAATAGCAGCCGGATATCGTTGTGCAAGTAAATCTTCCCAGATTTGGAGCTCTGGAATCTGCAAAGACATGAAACAGATTTTAAAAAGCCTTATTTATAGTACAACATTAATGCAAACAAGTGTGGAGACATAATTATTTCATTTATCAGAAATTCTGCAAATGTTTGTTTTAAAAAATGTACCTTACATGTCCTCATCAACAAAACAGAGGTGACACAGCCCTAAGCCTTTAACAGGCACAAAGAGAAAAGAAGGAAACCATCATTATACCTGAGATGTATCAAGTAGCAGAGAACCTTCTTCCTGTAGAGCGGTGTCCCCCCGGGAGACGCCTCGCCTTTCCCCTCAGCGGCCTCCTCCACCGGCACCAGGAAGATCCGGTGGCGCAGGAAGGTCATGTGATTGACAGGCATATCTCCAAAATTGTACGTCGCCAGAAACATCTTCACCACAGTTTTGTTGGGATTAAATAAGGTCTGAGGAAGCATATCACAAGCTAAATTTACACTTCAGAAAGTAAAGAAAAGGTCTACACACAGAAAATAAAGCTAAAACTGATTCTTAAAAGCAACATTTAAAGGTGCATTGTTTAAAGATGAAGTAAGACTGACATCCTGTGGTCAATTTTGGTTACTGCAGCCTATTTTACAGACACACAGGTTCTGTTTCACGAGTTTTGTGGCTGTTGCCAGTTACAGATCAGTAGGGCTGCTCAATTAATCGAATTTTAATCACGATTACGATCTGAGTTTTGAACGATTATAAAAAACAAAACAAGCCGATTATTTGCTCCTCCCGCTTGCGCTGCCCTGAGTTGCAAATGAAGCGCTCCTCCACAGTGTTGCCAACTTAGCGACTTTGACGCTATTTCTAGCAGCTTTTCAGACCCCCTTCTTGACTTTTTAATCCTAAAAGTACCTAGCGAACATCTCAGAAACATCTCTGGTAACCCTTAGCTACTTTCTGGATAACTGTCGTCGACATTTCCTGCAGGTTAGCTAAACACTCCGCCTGAGCTCCGGACCGTTCTTCACAACATTAGGAAAGGGAATGATGTAGTGATGTGTCGGTCGCTAAAGACAGCTCTCGGAGCGGGCTCCTTGTTGGATTAACCAGAGTGAGTGACACACACACCGCACCTGCGGACTCCTGAGCCACTAAAAACAGCTAAATGTGCGCGTGCAGCGTGCTAAACACATGTGCAGCTTGCCCCTGATTGCTGTGAGACCGGGTTGGGGGGTGGGGGGTGCAGCTGTGGTTGGGACAATTATTACATTAACTGATGGACTTGTAAATACATAGTTTATAAATAAGGTAGAAATAAGTTCCTCACGCTGATAAATAATAACTAATCTCTCTGAGGACACGGTGCTAGTGCACTCTCCTACAGCACCTTGACACGACTCAATAAATGTTATGCAACATTTTGTGAACATCAATTTATTTGCATTTATTTGTTATAAATGCCACTGTATAATTCTTGCTGTCAGTATTTGCAAGATATTGGTATTTGGTTCTGTACTGGTTAGACTTAAATGAGTTAAACCAAGGTCATAGCCCTTGGGTCATAGACTATGAGCTATAAGTATATTGGTCTTTTTATACTGGGAATCAGGAGTTATTTTAGTGATCATCTTGTTTCTTATTTTTGTCCTGATTGTGCCCTGAGCAATTTTATGACTGAATAAAAACAAATAAAATCATCATAAATTGAAAAATCGTCCTAAATAATCGTGATCTCAATTTCAGTCACAAAAATCGTGATTATTATTTTTGCCATAATCGAGCAGCCCTACAGATCAGTATCAAAAGATTCAGATGATGAATGAAGACGAGTCACTCTCAGTATGTTGACTATAAGTACATTTCACTGTAATATAGGGAGCCTAAGTCTCCTCCCTTATTGGTTGGCTCATGGGTCCCAGAAATGATGGTGTTTCGACCACGCCTGTCACGTACTTTAGTCGGCTTGTAAAAGTTCGTAATTAGCATGACTACACACCAGAAATCGCACGTCACATATGTGACGTCACCACATAATCTCCTCTTCCCTAACGTAGATGCTACTTTCCAAATGGCCAGATTTATGGTGGTTCTTTCCTCCTGTGGGAAGTTTGCTCAACTTACAGCCCTTTTCCCTCAGTTTTCTCCGTGTCTGGTTCGATTATGTATCTTTTGTGAAGTGCGTTTGTAGTCCAGAACTTATTTTCACACAAAACCTAAAATAGCGTTTCCCCCGTTCAAATATAAGCGAGTTCTTGGTCAAAATGTGTCTTTAAAATTCACGGACATCATGTGTGAAATCCATGGCACATAACAAGCAGAATTAGAAAATAGCTTTTAGCCCCGTTGACTTGCATTCATTTATTCGTTCTTCCGGGGACCCGTGGTCCGGAAGTAGATGACTTACTCTCCCCTATAGAGTTGTTGGTAATTGAAAAAGTAGCTTCAGATATTTTTAAAGACAACTATTGTTTCGAATCCACCGTTAGCATTGTTAGCTCAACGTTAGCCTCTAGCCTTCTTCACCTGATATCAAAGAAAAGCAAAAAGATGCCATGGCTTCTTAGGGTTACAAGAAACAACTTCTGGGTCGCCTCTGTTGGTGACTTTACCAGCTGGTGTTGAATTACAAATGTGAGCGCTGCAGCACCAACTCGGCAATCACACGGGCTCACAGGTTGTATGCAAAGACTACGTCCCTCTTTGGCTTTTTTTGAAAGGAGAAAAATTAGAAACCGCCCCAACCGGTTGAGAAGGAAATCTGTTTAAATGTAACTTTCCTTCCAACAAGACTGAGACAAACTATTTTGTGATTATTTTACTGTCAAATTCGTACATGTTGCGTCTTTAATCTTGAATATTGAAAATCGTCTTTCTCTTCCATAAATAAATAAATAACTAAATAACTAACTAAATAAATAAATTGCATTTCTTGCTGAAATGCTGTTTGAATGCTGGATAGCTTAATAGCTGAACTGAAGCTGAAAGTACGCAAAACTGTCAAAATGAGCTGAAAAATGAGAAGCAAAAAGCACCAAAATGTAAATAAAGCACAAAAAGTGAAGAACGGAGAAAAAAAATCATAAACAGCAGAAAACAGAAATCTGAACATTATTTAAAAATCTGGACAGCAGAAATGTCTAAACACTTGTTGTTTGAGTAGGACTAGTTTAAGTTTAATTTTTACATTTAGCTGAACTGAGAAATTAGCAGCTTATGCTGAATTCAGAAACGGATTGCTGAAGCTGCTGAATAGCTGAAGCGAAGCTGAAACTAAGTTAAACTGTCAAAATGAGCTGAATGTATTTAAAGATTTAGAAGCAAAAATCACCAAAAAGTGTAATAAAGCTCAGAATAAAGGTGAAGAATGGACAAAAAATGCTAAACAGCAAACTGAAATCTTTGAACATTGTTTAAAAACTAGACAGTTTAGATGTGTACACGCCTGGCATTTCTGTAAGAACAGTTTAATAGTAAAATTTTCACAATTAGCTGAATTGTGAACTTTAGAAACATGCTTTACAGCATTCAAACAATAAATAAATAAAGGGGGGAACACACTCACCACTTGTATGGTCCCTGCTTTGGGTATGCTGTATCCTTTCTTTCCTAGAGGCTCAAGAGAGACGACACCCTGCGAGGGAGAGGAAGAACAGAATATTTCCTGATATGTTTCAACTTCTACATGATCAGTGGTTATTTACAGGAAGTAACATTCAATCCTTTAAAGTGAAGGATGTTCAAATGTATTCTGCACCACCCGAACAGCACTTTTTAAAATGTCGTTGTACACGTGACGACGAGAAAGACATGGCTTTCTGCTTCTGAACACACCTACCCTTACATCCCGAATCACTTCAAGTTCAGGTTGGACATTTTGATCTTTGGATTCCCCTTTAACTGTAATTATCCATTAGGATGCTAACTAACCACAGAAAACCTTCAGACATGGCAGACTAACCAGGAAGGGTGAAGGGGCGCTGTGTTCGGAGATGTCGTAGTACGTAACCTGCACCGGTAGGGTGACGTGCTGCGGGCAGTACGAGCCGCTGGCGCCGATCTCTGCTGTGAAGCCTTCGATCTGCCCTGATGGGGAGAATCGGCCCTTAAGTATGGATTCCTGTGGCACAAAAAAAAACAACTGAGTTACACCTAAAACAAAAGAAAAATAAACATATATTTTCACTTTGAACGGTTTTAGATTTGCTGTGATGAATTTCAAAACTGTGAACCTCAAAATTGCCGAGTAGAGATCTGCTGATGGAGGAGGAAGGCCAGCTTGAGCGTGTCGCACGGCCGGTGTCGGTCTGCCTGCCGCTGCGCAGCTGCCGACTGAGTATGGCCACGAACACACACAAAACAGAACGACGGTTAGCGGTCATGATTACAATAATTTCGTCTCAACCAATATGTCACACGCCTGTGAGCAAATTTAGGCCCAGACACAAAACCCTTTCATTTGGAATAACAGCAAACATCCTTTTTACTCCCACCTCGACTCCTCGTGTTCCTTTTGCTGAAGTCAGACCGACTGACATGGAAATGATTTTAAATCAAACTCTTAAATCCAGTTTAGAAGCTGCAGTTTTTTAAACTTAATGACATTTATAATTAGAAACAGAAGTGATGACTCACCTTTTTAATCTCAACCCATTCTTCAGTCGTCTTCCTGGTCGTGTGCAATCTACGGCAGTCTGAAGGAAGAACACACAAACAAGTCCATGATCACTCAGCTGGTTTTCACTGGAATCAGAATAAGAGTTTAAAACAGCCATGTGGGAAATAACGGATCTATTTTATGAATTGAACATAAAAACTTGTGTTTTTATTGTTATATGAGAAGATTTGCTGGATTTTGGGAATCACTTTACTTACTGAGAACTGACTAGATGTTGTGGCAATATTTTTTCCGACTTCCAGATTCCCGTTCAGCGTAAAGGTCGCCCATCGGTCTGATGACTCCTCGCTAGCTGAACCTACACACCCTCTGCTCGGCGCAGACCTCTCACCCATGGTTAGAACAGGGTTACTTTCAGCCCGCTGTCAGCTTGTGGTCTCATCTTTATGTGCCATTAAATCCACAAACAGCAGCATTTCTTTCACCGACTGTTTGACTGTTTTGCTATTCTGACCTCATCTCTAATCGAAACATTTTCTAATAAAAATATTTCTTCTTATTTTGTGTTTAAAAACAACTTTCTTTCTTTTTTCACTGAACTAGAGACCAAACACTTCTGATCTCCGTGGACCCTGTTGGGTCAGTTCACTTCCAGAGATGTTTTAAGCAGGACACATGGGTGTGTGTCAGTGTGTGTGAATGCATGTACATAAGAGGCACTCACACTCGCGTTAGGGAACAATGGACCTTCCCTCAATGGGTTTTATTCTGGAGCTGCTCTGCCTGTTCCAGCGCGGTGTGATAAAGAGCCGGCTGTCACTTCATTCTTTTCCTTTTACTTGTTCATGCAGTTTGTGCCTTTTTTCTTCTTCTCCCATCTTCTTTTACTGAATTGCCCATGCTAACAAATGTTCTGCTAACCCTGACTGAAGTACCCGGTATCTTCATTTATTTACGTTTTTTCTAGGAAATCCAAGTTTTCTGTTCGTGAAAGTTAAAACACCGTGGCTTGAAATTTTTGGCGCAACTTAAAAATGCCTAAACTGGACTTTCTGACTCTGTTTTTATGGTGTAAAGCAGATAATCTCTCAGAAGTTATATTTCATTCCAAGTCCGTCCCTGACCTCTACAATCATTTAGCGAGCCAAGAGCACTGACCAATAGACCAATGGTATCCACAAGAGGGAACTGCCAATCACTGAGAATCCGCCCCAGTTAGCTTAGCACACCAACGGAAAAGAAGCAGGAAGTTTACCGTTTATCAATTACTCGGCAGTCTTTTACTTCTGACAGAAAAGGTAAACAATTTAAAATCCTTCGGTAAAACTCGCCAAGAGACGTTCACGACTGTTGAGTAGAACTTACGTTGGAGACACTTTTAAAAGATGGAGGATGCTTCATGGTCTACGAGGGCTCTAAACTGATGAAGAGTTGGTGAAGTTTCTTTTAGCCAGTTAAATACTACGTTTTTATAGTATTTTAGAGAATTGTAACCAAAGTTGCATTTAAATAAAAGAAATAACAGTGTGGTATGCTAGGTTTACCATAGGCTAATATTTAGCTAGCTTGAATGCTACCTTGACCTGCATTGAATTAATGTCAGTTTGTAAACTTCAAGCTAACCGTGGAAGAGGAGGGAAGGGAACGAGTATGGATTTATCATTTGTGTTTTGAAGCTAAGTGATTAGCATTAGCTTTCAACCTTGTGCTACATCAGAGTATTGTTTTAGCCCCATCCAACTCTGCTTTCCCTGCGTGTGCGCGGCGTTAGTCGTGGCTTTCAGCTCCGTCCAGAAGGTGGAGCAGGGGCAGGAGCTACAGCCATTCAGATGTCTTAATCTCCATCTCTCCCTGATGACCTCATTCTATGAACCACAGCTTTAATACATTACATTAAAAATGTAAATGTGCCAGCTGTGTGTGTGTGTGTGTGTGTGTGTGTGTGTGTGTGTGTGTGTGTGTGTGTGTGTGTGTGTGTGTGTGTGTGTGTGTGTGTGGTTGTGCACGTGCGCGTGCTAACCTTAGGCCCGTCCCGTGCTGTGGGCAGCAGGTGGGTCCAGTATGGTGCGGCTTTAGCATCAGTGCTTCGACATGAAGCTGGGCCTAACCCTGAAGTTAGCAAAGACAACCTGCTTCTTTTGGACGTGGAGGGACCCTCGTCTTCTGAGCATGACTCCGATGCATCGCTCGGCGACAACAACCTCTTTTTGGCCGGCCAGTGACCTCCAGAGTGCAGACGATGGCCATTACTACTGGGGGTTTTCTCCCAGGAAGCCAGACCGCCAGAAGAGGAGGCAGCTTGGGTAGCACTTCGCTCAGGTGGAGAGGATTCGAGTCCAACGTCCCATTCGGTTGCTTCCCCAGGCTCCTGCATTTCTGTGTGATGTGGAGGAGAGAAGGGTCCGGGGGGACTGGTGGGGCTGGCTGGATTTGGAGTTTCATATGAGGACATTTCATATAAGTGGGGACTGAGCTGTCCTCCAGAGGAGCCATTACTACAGCTGTCATGTCCAGGGCTTCCCAGTGAGTGGGTAGGATTGCGAACCCCGTTAGCTGTATCTGTCCTTGCCAAGCCTCCGTTGGAGTAGCCCAGGTCACAGATGGGGGGTGATTTAGGTGAGAGAGGAGCAAACGCATCAGGGATGGGCCTGTCATGATTGTGCTGAGCTGGGCGACGGGAGGGGTTGTGATTTGGGGACAGAGGTGGAGACCTGGGTGACAGACCGCCATCAGAGTCTCTGTGCTCCACCGGAGTGTAAGGGTATGGAGAACCAGACCACACGGGCCCAGTCACGGACCCAACCCCGACACCTTGAGCTGGGGCCGACCCACACAGCACCCCTCCCTCCAACACGTCGCTGTCTGATTTGTCATCCAGGTGGGAACGCTTATGAGTCAACTGGGGCTCTTCTAACCCCCTTTTCACACCCAACCGGCCTGGTCTTGGTTGGCCTTCAGTGAGGGATCCCGTGGAGGTAGAAAATCCCCCCATCTGTGAGAAAATGGAGAGCTGATAGACCTTTTGAAGCCTTAACTCCTCCTGGTCCAAGCGCCTAGGTGCTCCTGCTCTGACTCCAGGATCTAGTCCATCTGATGGGGATGCAGACGGAGGCAGGTCCCCTTCCTGTGCCGGAAGCTCTACTGAAGCCTTTTTATGGGCTAATTCCACGTGAATGTGCCGCATGATGTCACTGCTGCCAGAAGAGCGTCTCAAATTACTTTTGTTGCAACGCAGTCAAGAAGGTGTTCACAAATACCAGAAGGTAGATCTAGATTTCCCTCCTACGGTTTCCACTGTGATATCATCAAAGTGCGTGAATCAAGAATCTGAGCCACACAACATCTGAAAGGAACAAAACACTCTAGTTAGAAATAAAAAAGCACTCTGGCATGCAGCAGAAGAGCAGAAATATAAAACTGGATCCTCTTAAAACCAGAAATGTGTCATTTGTGTTTATGCACAGCAGAGAAGACACAACGGAAACAGCTTAACCCTTAACTGTCGCGACGGATTTCAAACATCTGCTAAATTGCTTCTTGAATCAATTATTCAAGTTTGAAACCCCAGAGTGACATCCTCTCCATACACACATTGAAAATTATTCTACTTCTTTACTTTATTTAACATTTTTTTTACTTTTTGATGTATTTATTCCAATCTGTCTTCTAATTCAAAAGGGGTTGGGCTCTAAAGGGTTAAATCTGAAGCTGTTTTACAAACTCAGACAGGGAATAATTCAGCCTGGCCAGTGCATCGTGCTTCAGCTGATCATCTACTGTAGGACGAGTTTCCATTTGATGGCTTTTTGGCAACCACCTTCTTATTTTTTATCGGTCAAGCTATGTTTTCTTTGCTGTTTGTCAAAAATTCAGCAACATAAACTGGATGTTTTAAAGACCAAATTCATATTTGCAGTGGTCTCCATTATAAAGGAATCCCTTTTGAGTCTACCTCTGTGGGAACAAAGCTCTGGCGCTCCTGTTTCAGGAAGTAGAAGTGAGCCAGAGCCGAGGTGCGCAGCAGACGACAGCTGTTGGAGTCTTATTTCCTTTATATTTTGACATCTCGCCTCTGATTGGCCAACAGCAACACGACTCTACCACTGACTCGGTTTGCTCCAAAACGTTGATGTTTTATCACCACAATCAACACAAGTCGGAGTTGCTAATGCTAACGGTTAGCTTGCTGCCAGCTGAGACGTGCTCTGCTCTCTCCTGGACTCTAAATGAACAACAGCCTTCCCTGCCGTGATCCAAGATGGAAGATGCCATGAATGCTCATTTTCTATTTGACGTGCATCACAGGCTTTTCAATTCAATTCAATTGTATTTACATAGCGCCAAATCACGACAAGAGTCGTCTCAAGGCACTTCACACAGTAAACATTCCAATTCACAGTTCATTAAGCCAATCAGAAATAATGTTTCCTATATAAGGAACCCAGCAAATTGCATCAAGCAATACAGCAATCCTCATACTAAGCAAGCATGCAGCGACAGTGGAGAGGAAAACTCCCTTTTAACAGGAAGAAACCTCCAGAGGATCCTGGTTCAGTATAAGCAGCCATCCTCCACGACTCACGGACCCACTACTTCTCTGTTCGGTGCATTTCCCCACCTGTTTTCTATCAGCAGTGCGGGTAGAAGACTATTTTCATGTTTAGCCTGCATGTGAGGCTCAGAGTGACAGATCATATTTAATTCAATTCAATTCAAGTTTATTTATATAGCGCCAAATCATGCCTCGTTTAAATAACAAGTAAAAAGTGGTTTCTCAGTGAACTTGGCCTTTAGGAAGGATGCAATCGGCCTCTCACCTTTGTGCCACCCGTTCCTTGCATTATTCCTCCTGCGTGGACAACCTGACTCCGGCACAACATCTGAAAGTTGCGTCAAAAATGATTCACTGATTGAATTTGTCCTCTTCCATGAAGTTAGCTGACCTTAAAGGACAAAAGGGTTAAAGCACAAAATTCAAATTTATTTCTGTGATTGTAGATGTCACTATGACTGAAATGATTTGCAACTTTCTGTACAAAATAGATTTTTCATGAGTTAAAGGGCGAAATTTTTTAAAGCCTATAAGCCACGCCCACTTTTTAATCATTTTCAAAATATAGCTTAAGGGTCCGATGATTAACATATCTGCCAAGTTCTGTGAAAATCCATCCAGCCGTTTCGCTCAAACAAACTTTTTGACTCTTTAGCGCCCCCTATTGGTGAATCCAAACAAAATTTAGTAGATAAAGCTTACTGTTCATACTTTGTAAGGGTCTCGAGTCTCATTGTTTTATCTTGAAAAATGGTGAAGATATAATCAATTAGGACATGTGCTAGCTAGCGCACTGAATTTGACGTGGTGTCATTAGCCCAATTTTTGATAATTTTGCATTTTTCTTCATCACAAAAACTTAGCTTATGCTATAGATCATATCTTCAAAGTTTGAAGTGATAAAACCTCTAAGGTGCTGATGGTTGAATCTTACCAGCAGGGGAGGAGCGTCAACAGCGCAGGAGGCTCTTAAGACAAAATGTCTCTGAGTCCAGGTTACTACCAATTCTGTTGCAGCTCCCTCTCAGATTGGCTGACAGCCAGGTACTCCCTCCTTGGTCACCTGGGTATGAGGCGGGGCATGGCTGTGACATCATGACTGGGTCATTCCTCCCTAAAGAAGCAGGAAGAATCTAAATCAACAGCATATCAAAGTAAATGGTCTGCATTCATGTGGAAACTGTTCAGAAATTTGAAAAAAAAAAAAATAAATAAATAATAAAAAAAGGGACAGAAACGTGTCCATTTATGTCCTTCTGTTTGATGAAGAGACAAAGACATCAGACCAAACCGGGACGAGACCCAGCGAGAACCGCCTCATGCATTCACCGACCCAAACCCCAACGACTTGATCATCACACACGAGGGAACCACTTGGGAAGCCAACTTGGCACCGTATGGCGTCGGACCAAAAGACGTAAGCCGTTTCCCAACCTACTTGGACCTGGATTTGGGAATGCTGGGTGCTGGGAGGGGTTGCAATGAGCTGTCCCCATGGCAACCAGCAGCCCAAGGATAACGACTCCTTTGTACTTGGCCACAAAGAGGGAGAAAGAGAAGCACAGCTTCAGAGAGTTCAAGAGGGTCCACGGTGGTGGGGGGGTGTGTGTGTGAAGAAGTTTCAAAAGAAAATAAATAAATAACTAAATAAATAAATATTATACACACTAAATGGCTGATTTTCTTTTGAGACAGAGAGACAAAAACACAAATATTGACGTGGTTCGTTAAAAATAAGCTACTGATTCGTTTTAATTAAAGTGTTTAAATATTTTCCTCTCGGTGGAAATTAGAAGGCAGCTAATGCGACGAACACCCTGCTGGCTCCGAGTTGGTTCCCATTCAGATATTTAATACCTAAGCTAATCACATCCCCCGTTCTCTGACTTTTAAAGCATCACAGAAGCAACGTGTTGATGCATTAAACCATCTCGAACATACGGACGATGCTGAGGAAGTGGCACAATCATTAAATGTGAGCACGATCCCAGCATTCACGGGAAAATCTGCGTAACAAGACATCTTCATCTAGAAGCGTTTCTGTTCCGATATAATCAGCTGGAGCTGGTATTTCGATGACTTGGCTGGCAAATTGTGTTTAGATGACATTTGTGTTTCACGTCTTTCTGTGAGTCACGAAAATCTGCATCTTCACATTGAAGGAGAAAACTGAAGTTCAGAAAGGACATGACACAAAATAAATACACGTTCAACCTGCAGGCTGTTTATGCAGCCACTGACCTGAGGGAACACCGTTTGTTCCTCGCTGCACAAAGAACAGTCAGGGGTGAAATCTTAGTCAACTGTAATTCATCACCGAGCATATGGCCTCTTTGCATTCACATTTTACTTTCAGGAAGCCTCAAGTTAGACAGATTATGCACAAAAACACAACAAATCGAGCTGTGGAGCACATGTTTTCTTTAGACCATATCAAGTCATTCTCTGCATCACTTCTGATGCAGCTTTTCAAACTGTCGGCACCCTATAGGAACAGCCACTGCTGTATTTAACCACATCTGGCAAATCACTCGTCTGTGTTGTCCAAGTGGAACGAGGCAAACGTGCAGAAGAGGAGTAAAGACAGAATCTTTAAGGTTGCATAAAAAATGTTCTCAAATCCAGGATATTCATTCATAATAGATAAATCACCGAGACATGTGTTGTTTCCACCAGTGAGGGGTATTTATAGTCCCTGCCTGTGTGCCTATGAGCACCCAAAGGTTAAGTTCGAGGTTCCACCTGATTTCTGACCTTGGTTTGAACAGGCAGCGAGGAGCAGACAGCTGGCACAGACCGTCAGTCCTTCCCCGTCTCAACCCAGCGGCCAGCAGCGGAGAGGCAACACTCTGGCTTCACCCCGAGGCATGCTTGAGGGTTCAGGGTGTGTGCAGTGATTCAGACTCAGGAACTCAGGAAATTCATTACAGCATTGCTGAACATTGTAATGGGGCCAGAATACATCATTACCTCTAATCTACTCGTACAAGATCATCTGCATCGCACTTGTAGAAATTGTGATACAGAAAAAATAACAAAACAATCCCTCTCACTTGAATAAACATAGACTAAAATGATTAGAACAGCATGTGTGTGTTCGTAGATAATGTAGCGCAGAGGTGTCAAACATGCGGCCCGCGGGCCGGATCCGGCCCGCAAGCGGGTTAAATCTGGCCCGCGAGATGGTTGTGTAAACTTTATTTTCATACTTTACAATGTAGAGTTAAAATAAACATATCTTTGTGAGCAAGTTTTCTCTGTAATGAGTATAAATAAAAGAAAGCTGCGCTCAAGGCTCACACAAGAACTTGAATCCCATCCTGAAGTTGGCCGCCACTCAGGATGTGACTTCTGATGTTGATGTGCTGGTGAAGCTAAAAGATGTTAAGTAAAATGAGTCAAATATACTTTAAGTGCTGCATGAAACTGATCTTACCATGTGATCTGTAAGCTCTGAATCACTAAGAAATGTTTTTATTTGTTGATTTTTTTATTTTTTTCAAATTTTCAAGTACACTTCAGGTGTTGTACTTGTACTACACTGTCCTCAGGCTCCAGCCTTGTTTTATATTGATTGTATTAAAACAAAGAAAACAATCTGAAGTATTTTTTTAATTTACCGGTCCGGCCCACTTGGGACTAGATTTCCCTCAATGTGGCCCCTGAGCTGAAATGAGTTTGACACCCCTGGTGTAGCGTCTCTGGGAATGACGTGTTTTGTAGGCGTGGTCCCATTTTCTTGCTAATCTACAGACTCAGCTGCCGTCAGCTCGTTCAATGGATAAAAGGACGTTTCTACAGACTTTCACACAGCCGGACCCATTAATGATTAAGAAACCTGCCATTTTCAGATGACACAACAGGCTTGTTGTAGCGACAACGCGGGTCACGGCTATGAAACTGATCTCTGATCAGTTCTCTTCTTTGAACCCAATCTTCATCCGATGACGAAACGTCCTCACAGAAACTCAAACGAAAAGCATAGAAACTCCACAAGAAGTCACTAAAGTCGACATTTTATTCGGGTGCAAACACAGATGAAACCGCGCGCGCCTTTAAAGGTGCACAACGTAGACGTTCCCGTCTAGATTTTACACTTTTAAAGAGAAAACATGCAGCAGAGTCAGATAACAGGTTTGGCTGCACTTTATCAATAAAAGCCAAATATTACAAAGTTACACCAAAACCAACATTAATCAAAAGCACCTTGTAAAATTTTAATGTAATTTAAAAAATTACGCAAATTTTGTTTTTAATTCCAAAAAGTTGCTAAACTACAAAACGGTGGGATGAAAGAGAAGATGGATGATTCAGCCTGGTTAATGACCTTGGAAAGGATATAAATAGATAAAAGCAAGAAGAGGACCCCCCCCCCCCCCCCCCCCCCCACACACACACACACACACACTAAAGTGTCATGGCCAACCCAAAGCTAAAGTGTTCAGACACCAGCCAGTCAACAGTCTACAAGTTAAACCAGATCCTTTCAACCATCAGCTCTGCTCAGATGGAAACTAATGGTTCATCAAAGCGGTTACAAACATTAATGATTTCATTTATACGTAAAGAAAAGAAACACATGGATCCCATGAGGATTGCTGTGAAGACTCTGACACGAGTCAGTGACTCGACGCAACCTGCTGGGTTCCTTATATAGGAAACTTTTTACTGATTGGCTGAATGAGCTGACCTCTATTGAAGTGTTTACTCTGTGAAGCGCCGTGAGACGACTCTTGTCGTGATTTGGCGCTTTATAAATAAACTTGAATTGAATTGTATTTATAATTAAAAGGCTCTAAGTGATTTAAGTTAACACTGACTTGCGTGGTGGAAGCTGGTGCTGAAACCAGTGGAGGTCGACATTTTGCGGGGCGGTAAATAGGCCAACCCCTAAACAAAACAATAATAAATAGCCGGTGAGATCTGGACTAAAACAACAATCGTTCCCAGTTTTCTGTGAAAAATCACATTAAAAATCTAACCAGGAGCAATAAAAGGTCAAACGTAGACGAAGGCTGCACACAAGATCCATTGTCCACTAAGGTTGAAGGAAACTGTGGTCATAAGGTCAAAGGTCAGCTGTCCTGGGTCAGATGACTGAGCACATCAGGAGGCCTGGAGGTGTTACATTTCATCATCATGAGGAGAACGTGTTGGAGACGGTGATGCGTGAGAAGGGACGAATCGGAGTGAATCAGCCTGATCTAATCAAGAGAGACAAAGATACCCAACAAGTATTTGATGGACAATTATGGTGTGTGTGTGTGTGTGTGTGTGTGTGTGTGTGTGTGTGTGTGTGTGGTTGCTCCCTGTAAACTTTGTAAACACACTTATCCTGATCTACTGGGCCTAGCCAGCTCACTAAACCCTTTGAAGATGGCAGAGCTTCAAACTTTGCGCCTAACCTTAAAAAAACTAGCCTGACCTTTGACCTTTGTGTATATTAATCACAACACAGAAATGCAGCATGCATGTGTGCACAGACCCTGGTGCTGGACACCACCACTTATCGTCTCTCAGCAGGAGAATTCGTGTTATTTGCTCCTCCTCTGGCAGGAACACAGCTGCTGTGTTTGCAAGAAAATAAAAAGTTTAAGCCAAAAACTTGTTTCAGGAGTTGGACGGCAGCTTGATTTAACCGTACCAATTTAGCCTCTTGAAAAAGGAAAAGGAAGTTTGACAGGGTGAAGTTTTCACCCTGTCTTATTTCCAAAACGATGTATTTTTAGTCTGCGACCTCGGCTGTCACGCTGACTGAAGCTTTGTTGAAGTCTCATCTCAGGCAGCTCATTTGCACTCTGCCCTGCTTGTGTATACGAACGCACCCTTCACATGCAGCCCATAACAGAGGCATGATAGCATCAGCATGAAGTTAGCGGCCGCTCAGATTGTCTCATGACGTTTGTGCAGCACCCCGCCTCGACTGCTCCCAGGCCTGGCCTGTGCCTGGACGCTGATAAACAACACAGACGCGTTCATTCTCAGACACAAACCGTCTCTGGCTGCCTCAGCCAGGAATCAGCTGTTGATCGTTAGATTACAGTACCTCTCTACAAAAGGTGGGTGGGAGAACAGCGACTTTGTGGAGCGTTAAACACCGGTGTGTGACAGGAAGTGACAAGAGAGGAGTACGCCTTTAAAGCAAACACTTCAGTAGTGGAGTCATGACAGTTTTAACCCAGCTGGCTAGGGACGTCTCTGCTGAAAATACAGTTTGACTCAGGCTCCTTTTCTGTCCTGCCCTTCCTCCCTGTCTGTCTGCCTTTCATGTGGCCATTTTAGGAGATGTTGAGTCATCTGAGCCCAGCTGAGAATACGGCAGCAACCAACAGGAGCGACGCTACAACACTTGACTCAAGAAGGAGAAGTTGTGACACTCACCCAGTCAGAAAGATGAGGCTGATCTTACTGTGTCTCTCCTTCCTTCCTCGGTGTCGTTGCCTGGGTAGATGACACTCGTGTCCTCCTCTGGGTCAGGCTAACCTCTCTCTCTCTGGCTGCTTCCTTCACCCTGAACAGGTTGTGGTGGAAGTACAAAAGGACAAAAACAAGTCAAGTTGCTCTGCTTGTCTGTCCCTTGTTATGTCAGGATGTCCAGCAGCCTGCAAAGTTTGTTCTCTCTCTCTCTCTCTCTCTCTGTTTTCTTCCTGTCTACCTCACTCCACCCTCATTCACACACATGAACAAATCAAAAACCCATCGTGGACTCCCAGCCCCCATTTCTCTCGCCTGTGCCCTCCTTCTACTTTTCTGCTCTAAGCCACCCCCCCATCCTCCTCTCTCCTGGGCTCTTCCAAAGTATCAGGAACACAAAAGCCCCTCCGTGTGCTGCCATAACACCTCTCCTCCTTCATTCTCCCTCAGCGTGTCCCTTTCTCCCAACACTTCACTTTGCCACACTGCCTCTCTTACTGTGTTTTCTTGCTGTTGCTTTCCTCTCAGCTGATAGAGCGGGGCATGCTTTGCTCACTCAGCAGTGAAGGCATACAGAGGAAAGAAAGGGAGAGGGGGGTTGGACGTTGCTATGTGATTGGCTAGAGCAAACGGGGGAATCAGCTGGTGAAGGTTCTGATTGGCTGGCTGGAAACAGTGAAAGGGGAGAGGAAGTGTGCAGAGTCAAACGCCCGCCCACCTGCTCCTGCCTGTCCTGTTCTGCAGAAGAGTGCAGCGTACTTTTTGCAGCGTGTATAGTAAATGTTAGTTAGCTTGTTGTGTGTACAGTAACTGCTTGTCATAACTGTGCAGCTGCACGCTTGTGTGCATCTACTGAAAAGCTGCTAAAAGAGGAGGCGACACCTCTGACATTGCATATGCACACACACATTCCACCCTCCCCCTTTCGTTGCCGTCTTATTCTCTTCCTGACATGCAACTGCAGTCTGTGTGCAGCGTGATATGTACACTTGCACGCTTTAGCCCACAGAAAACAGCAGCTGGAGCACAGATAGAGGCTGGAGTGTGCATGAAAAAAGTTTATCAGTCCAGCTCCAGAAGCAGCAATCAGCTGTGCGCTTGTGTGAGTAATCTTGGCGTCTGTGAGCTAATAAGGAACAGCATGTGGATTAGGCAAGGAATATTTCAGAGTGGTGTGGTTAAAGCTCTTACACAC